TAATATTTATTGCATGTAAGTAGGCAAGAAAGCGTTATTCAAATTACTGAAATATTACAATTTTGATTTGCCTTTTTTGAATCAAACAACTCAAATTTATTTACAGCAATTAAATAAAGCATTTCAAGGGTATCTATTTCACAACTGTAAATGATGATGGTACGCAGAGAAAGTACTGTGGATCTAAAACAATTGATTGGAAAACTCCATATATATATGACCTTATTGATTTCCATTAAGTTTTATTTTGTTGTCGAGAAATTTCTGAAAACTTTGATGGTATTTGTAGAATAATATTCAATTGAGAAGTATATAGGTACCATTTTCACCAAAAGTATCTGGGACAAATATAATTCATAATAATCTCCTGGACTAATTCTACCATCAAATATTTGACACTAAAAATCATATGATATTTCAAGAGCTAATCAGATGCTGTCCCAGTTATACTTTTGGTGCCAATGGTACATAGTACAAAAAATAGCTATAACCTTTCAGTAGAGATAGCAGATCCAATTTTTGTCTACTTTGAGGGATGGATGCTGGAGAAAATATTCGGTTTTCAAAAACCTGTTCATTCAATATACAATCCAATAAGATTGGAAAGGCATGCATACTTCAAAGAGTACTGTTTGTTTCACGAGGGTTTCTACTTTTGCCTTCCTTTTTTAACAAATAAAAATTGACTGAAACAAAATAATGACGTCAAAATCGTTCATCGGTTTTTAAACCGATGCCTTCAAATACAATACAAAATCTGAATGCTATTGAATTTATATGAATCAATCTACGAAAAACCTTTTTTTCCAAGTTATGACATTATCGATATCATAAGTACAAACCCTCGTGAGATGAACCTTATTTGCTTTAATTTTTTAAAAGTAGATATCAGATATTATTGATGTCAGAAAGAATGTGTTGGATGTGTTTTTTTTTTCAGTTTTTCAGCTTGGTATATATTTTCAACTGGATTATTTGAATTTCTGTAAAAATATCTTTATTTTTAAAAGAAAAACATGTAATCCTGTTGATAATTTCTTAAAAGAAGCTTCCAAAAGTTGGACTATGTATTTAAATGAGCTGAATATTTTTGGATTTTGGTTCTTTTGAAATTTTTCGGTTTTGTGTGTTCAATTTTTTGAAGAAATAGTTTCAACTATTTCGATACTTCCTGTATTTAGACAAAAAGGATATCTATGTTATTGTTGGAATATGTTGCAATTTTCGCCATTTGACTGTTTTCTGGTAGGTACCAATTAGAAAAAAATAGTATTTTTGGTTAGTACCAGAAGAATATTTCTACAATTCTACATCACACAGCACTAAAGACAGCAACATTTCCAATACTCTGCTTGTTTCTGTGTGAGAATATTGTAGAAAAACGGTCTCTTTAAGTTGAAGTGAAGTTTTGTCTCAAATTTGAAAATATGTTCAATGCAGCTGTTCACATGTTCATCTTCTGGCAGTCTACATCTATATTTAAACAAGTATAGTTTTCTCTGGCTCCTATAAATGCACCTTCCAAATACCATCTCTGTAACGAATGCCTGATAACCCTTGACTAAAGACTGGGACGGTATATGCTTTCTAGAAGCCAATATCAGCCAGTCTCCGAGTAGAAGAAGTCATTCGGGTTAGTTCAAGCGGAGTCAATTGCCTAAGAAAACTACATTGCAGTGATGCACGATGAAACTCATAGATATATTCAAACCTAAATTTCCGCAGAACAAAGTCCATTTACCAGAAAAATTATGGTATTGAAAAAAAATAAATAAAAAAAATCCAGTTTCAATGAAATTAATTTCCAAATACCCTCTTTGTAGGGTAAACCTTGGTGACCCTCGACTGAAGACTGGGACGGTAAAGTTGACGCTTTTCAAAAGCCAATATCCGCCAGTCTACGAGGTGAAGAAGTCATCCGGGTTGATTCAAGCGGAGTCAATTGCCTAAGAAAACTACAATGCAGTGATGCACGATGAAACTCATAGATATATTCAAACATAATTTTCCGCAAGCCAAAGTCCATTTACTTACTGCAATTAACCAGAAAAATTATAGTATAGAAAAAAAAAATCCAGTTTCAACGAAATTAATTTCGAAATACCCTCTCTGTAGGGTAAGCCCTGGTGACCCTCGACTAAAGACTGGGACGGTAGTTAATTGCCTAAGAAAACTACATTGCAGTGATGCACGATGAAACTCATAGATATATTCAAACATAATTTTCCGCAGGCCAAAGTCCATTTACTGCAATTAACCAGAAAAATTATAGTATTGAAAAAGAAATCCACTTTCAATGAAATTAGTTTCCAAATACCCTCTCTGTAGGGTAAGCCCTGGTGACCCTCGACTAAAGACTGGGACGGTAAAGTTAACGCTTTTCAAAAGTCAATATCCGCCAGTCTACGAGGTGAAGAAGTCATCCGGGTTGATTCAAGCAGAGTCAATTGCCTAAGAAAACTACATTGCAGTGATGCACGATGAAACTCATAGATATATTCAAACTTAATTTTCCGCAGGCCAAAGTCCATTTACTGCAATTAACCAGAAAAAATATAGTATTGAAAAAAAAATCCACTTTCAATGAAATTAGTTTCCAAATACCCTCTCTGTAGGGTAAGCCCTGGTGACCCTCGACTAAAGACTGGGACGGTAAAGTTGATGCTTTTCAAAAGCCAATATCCGCCAGTCTACGAGGTGAAGAAGTCATCCGGGTTAGTTCAAGAGGAGATCATTTCTCAAGAACACTGCATTCTTTTGATGTAAGACGAAACAAAAACAAAAATTGGAAGATGTATTATTTTGGACTAATTTGATGCAGGCCAGAGTTAGGTTGTTAGTGCAATCAGCCAGAGAAATTATATTTTGTTGTCATAAGTATCAACTTGGCCAGTATTTTGTCCGTCTGTGGACCATGAGAGTATATTTGTATTCGGTTTCTCACTTATCAACGTTTTCAAAGAGCATATTTCGTTGAACTGATTTCAAGCTTGCACAATTTAACTACCTTATAGGTCACATTTTATCGCTAGATAAAATTGAACCAGAAACAATAACTCATAATGGGCATCTATGTTTGGATTAATGAAGGTTCTTTGACAACCTAGTTCTTAAACGAGACGGATTGGCATATTTACTATGCCAGATTTTCCAAAAAATCTCTCTGAAGCTTTTGCAATCACTTGCGCTTGAATAATATTTCTCATTCCAAATATTCGTGATTACCTTTTTGCTCTAATCCGGTATTCTCATAAAACGGCTCAAAAACGATACGTTCTGCAAGCCCTAAGCGAATCGCGTACGATGCGTCTCGTACAGAAGTTTCGCTAAGCGTCCAGTTTTGGTGTTCCCGTTGCCAAGTGCAGCGTCTAGATTGAATTCGCATAGCACAATCTGGCAACGCCAAATTTGCCAGTGTTCCGAATATAAAATTTGACAATTTCAAATGAAATATTGTCAAATAGTCGAATGAGGTTTTTTTGGTGACGCTTCTGTATCTGTACCTAAGTTTGGGAGGGTGGTATGCCACAGCACTTAGGCCACATTAGGTCCATTGTGCGCCTCCACAAGAAGAGAGATCATCCTTAGCTCGTGATCGTCGCCTCTGATCTTTTCTAGTGATGGGTACGATTGGCTTATCACGCTCTGCGTTTTGGCGAAAGAGCAATGAAGTCATAGAGAATGTGCTCTATCGTCTCGTCTTCTTCTTGATTACAAGCCCTACACAAGAGTGTGGTACTGAGATGCAACCTAAATAAATGTTTGTTTAACTGACAGTGGCCAGTCAAGATGCCCGTTACTAGGCGTAGCCTTTTTCTGTTCAACAAACTTTTGGCTCGCTGCAGCTATCTATGGCTGCAGCTTTATCTGGATAGTTCAGCAGTTCCTTGGATAAGTCCTAGCGTTTTTTGAAAAGGGTATGGGAGCGTTTTTTTATCATATCTTTGGCTGGCGACATGGTCAGCCCCACGAAGGGCTTCGGTACAGTAGGTTGTTAGGAGGAATCATAAACAAAACTTGGAAAATATATTTTGAACTAATTTGATGCAGACTAGAGTTATGTTGTTACTGCAATTGACCAGAGAAATTATATTTTGTTGTCACATGTACCAACTTGGCCACTATTTTGCCCGTCTTTGGACCATGAGAGTATATTTGTATTTGGTTTCTTTGCTATCAACATTTTTTCAAAGAGCATATTTCGTTGAACTGATTTCAAGCTTGCACAATTTTACTACCTTATAGGTCATATTTTATAGAGCTAGGTAAAATTGAACCAGGAACAGTAACCCATAATGGGCATCTATGTTTGGATTAATGAAAGTTCTTTGACAAGCTAGTTCTTAAACGAGACGGATTGGCGTATTTACTGTGTCACATTTTCCAAAAAATCTGAAGCTTTTGCAATTACTTGTGTGATTCCAATTCCAATAATCTTTTTCGGTCTAATCATCAGAGGCAATAGAGACCGGTATTCTCGTAAAACAGCTCAAAAATGATAGGTTTTGGAATCGCTCAGTATGCGTCTCGTACAGCAGTTCCGCTAAGCGTCCAGTTTTGGTATTACCGTTGCCAAGCGCAGCTAGATTGAATTCGCATAGTGTTACCACCGCCACCTGATTGTGACGGTTGGGTGAGGGAGACTTTTTTTGCATTGGTAAAGGCTTTTTTGTACTGTGGTAGCATGCCACCAGGGACTTTGTTTAAAGTCTCACAGAAAATCTGGGTAACTCCGAACGGACAGTTAGTTGGAATGCTAGCTTGGGGTTTTCCAAAGGAAATAAAATAATCAGTTTTCCCTACTAAATTCTAACAATGGTTTATTGAACAAATGGTAAGGGAGAGTTGGGGAATGGTGCGCACCTAAGCGGAAATTGCATTTTTGTCGAAACTAAGATATATAAATTAATTTCAAGAACACTATGCGATGCAGAATTTATTCTACTTTCATTATGTGAAATGATATGAAAAATTTGCCTGTGTAAATAAATCAGTGGAACATGCCTACGGAAAACGAAAGTGACAGTGATCCTGAGCCTCCTGAACCAAGTTGTTATAAATGTTGCGTGAAGAAAAAAGCACCAAGCGTTCTGGTGTGCATAAGTTGTGGTTCTCTGTTTCACTTTAGCTGTTCTCAAAGAAAAAAATGCCTTGTTATTGATGGTACACGGGTAATCTGTTGCTCGAAAAATATAGCTTATAATTCTAAGGATACAAGCAATTTAAATCCAAATCAAATGGAAAATTATCTGTTAAAAGTGGTATTGCAGCAGTTGCAAGATCAAAATCTGCAGCTTAAAGAAGACTCTGGCCAACTGAAAAAAGATTTAGTTGATACTACAAAAAAGTATGAGGATATAAAGAATAGAGGTCTCCCATTACTGACTGTAGGTAGCATGGAGAAAAGGGCTATTTCTGATGCTAATGTAGTGAAAAGCGAGCCTGTTATAATTGTGAAACCGAAGAAGGATCAAAATAGTAGGGATACTAAAAAAGAAATTAGGAGGAAAGTGAATCCTGATGGCATAAATATTTCAAAATTTCGTCAAGGATCAAATGGGACAGTTATCATAGGGACCGAAAACATTAAACACATGGACTCTCTAAAGAATCAGTTGTCGAAGGAAATGGGAGCAGACTATGAAGTTGTGGTCCCTACTAAGAAAAGACCTAAGGTCAAGGTTGTAAACATAAATAGCTCCAATGTGGATGTAGGCGATGAGGATGAAAACATAACAGATCAGCTGGTGAAGGGGAATAGTCTAGTTCAGGATGAAGGGTTTCACATGAGAATTGTCAAGAAAACAGAAAACAAGTATAAAAACGTAGATCTGATTATCGAAATGGATTCAAAAACTCATAGCCGCATTCTCACTCAAGAAAAGATAAAGATTGGATGGTCAAGAGCTCGTGTATTTAATCATATTAGCATTTTACAATGCTACAAATGCATGAGTTATAATCACTATGCAAAAGATTGTAATTCGGATGTAGTAACTTGCTCACAATGTGGAGGAGACCACTCCTATAGACAATGTAATACACCGACAGTCAAATGTTGTAACTGTGATAGGAAAAATAAAAAGAATAAAAATAGTAGTTTGGACATAGGACATTCAGCTTTGGATAGGACATGCCCCTGCAGAGTAGACATTACTCAGGAGATTAGTAGAAGAATTGATTATTATATTTTGGATCATGGTTATGAATAATACTACAAAAACTACTATCTTTCATATTGCTCATCTAAATCTAAGGTCAATTTTGACCGGATTTTGTGAATTTCAAAATTTAGTGCAAAGGGGCAAGTTTGATGTCGTTGGTGTCACGGAAACGTGGTTGAATGAGGGTATAGCATCGGATGTGGTTGCGTTGCCAGGCTACAAATTCTATAGGAAAGACCGAGGCTTGAGAAGAGGAGGTGGCATAGGTATTTATGTTAGATCTGACTTACAGTGTGAATCTATAGATTTCATGAATATCCCAGTTGTACTGGGATTCGAGCATATGTGGATTAGGTTAAGGTTAGGCAAAGGTATAACAATGGCGTTGGGGGTTATATATCGTACAGGAAATAATGTTATGGAAAGTGTGAGTCTATTGGATGCCCTGTTACCTGAGATTTTACCTCATGATAATTATATTGTAGTTTTTGGAGATATGAATATCAATATGATGAATGTTTCAAATCCAATTAGTGAATTTTTTGATGTTTATGGTTTTTCTCAGGTGATAGATGAGCCTACAAGAATCGCTGGAAATTGTGCTACTCTATTGGATCCAATTTTTGTAAATAATAAAAACTTTTTTACCGGTGCCGGAACGATGGATGCTAGTGAAATTAGCGATCACTTGTTAACTTTCTGTAACATAGAAATCCTGTTAGCTAAAAAAATGAGTAAACTGGTTACATATAGGGACTTTAAAAATTTTAATGAGACAATATTTTCATCTGATTTAAAGAATATCCCATGGGATGATTTGTTTTATATTTGTAACATAGAGGATAAGGTGTTACTGCTAACTGAGTATATTAACCTGTTATTTGGTATGCATGCCCCCCATAGTACAGTAAGAGTAGGCAAACCTCCCGCTCCATGGCTGACTGACGTGATTCGAGAGCTAATGAGGCTGAGAGATAGGGCTAGACTTAAGGCTAGACTGAGAAACACTGCGGGTAATCAGGAATCGTATAAAACCTTGAGAAATTTGACGAAGTCTGCTATACGTCGCGAAAAGGCAGCTTATATTCAGCACGTAACAAATCAAAAAAATGAGAGGAAAATATGGAAAACCTTAAGGGACTTTAATGTGTGTTCTGCCAATGATAATGAACTCCCTTCGTCGTTTAACGATGCCGAGGTTATTAATAAATACTTTTGCAGTGTTTTTCGGAAGTCAGCCAATTGTGATTACAGGGTGCGCTACTACAGTAGTAATAGTTATAATATAACAATAAGTTTTCTTTTAGATTAGTAGACCCAAACGACATTTGTAAATATATAAATAGTATCAAATCAAACGCTTCTGGACACGATGATATAACGTTGGTAATGGTTAAGTTGTGTTTGCCGACTATTTCTAGCCATATTACACACATTATAAATTGCTGCCTCGAAAGTGGTTACTTTCCTCAGTTTTGGAAAAAATCAGTGGTTAGTCCTATTCCTAAAAAGAAAAATCCAAGTAGTATAAATGAGCTCCGTCCGATAAGTCTTCTTCCTGTTATATCAAAAATATTGGAAAGGGTTGTTCATTTGCAGGTTTCAGAGTATTTGAATAGTCATGGTTTGATCCCGGCACATCAGTCTGGTTTTAGAGAGAATCATAGCACAACCTCTGCACTATTGAATGTGACTGACACTATTGTGGCAGCCCTTGACAGAAAATTAGCAGCAGCTGTAATATTATTAGATTATTCAAAGGCATTTGATGTAATTGATCACGCACTTTTATGTGCTAAGTTGTCATTTTATGGGTTTGATGAGTTATCGGTATTATTTTTTAAATCTTATCTGACGAACAACCTGACTTCTGTTAGAAGTCAGGTGGTTCGAATTGGGAAAAACAGTTCAAACCCTGAACCAGTAATCTCAGGAGTGCCTCAAGGGTCAATATTGGGCCCCCTTCTGTATGTGTTATATACATCAGATATGTTTTCTATTCCATTGCATTCACATATCCAAGCCTATGCTGACGATACTCAGTTGTTATTGGAATTCGATCCTTCGGATCCCCAACAGGCTGAACGCCTACTGAACCAGGATTTGGAGTCTATATTTCGGTTTTCTAATGAGCATAATCTGAAAATTAATTGCGAAAAAACTGAAGCTCTGCTATTCTCTTCAGAAAAACAGCGACACAATCTCCTGAATTCCCTTAATGTTCATATTGGCGCTCATGAAATATAGTTCTCTAATTACGCTAGAAACTTAGGCTTATATATAGATATTAATTTGAAATTTAACAAACATGTTCAAACACTGTTACAAAAAAGCTATGTCAAAATGAAATTACTGTATTCAAATAGATTTATTTTGAACTTTAAAACCAGAAAAAAATTGTGTGAATCCCTTATCATGTCTGTGTATAGCTATTGTTATATTGTGTATTATGCATTTTTGGATGTAGTTACTAAAAATAGAATACAGTATGTGCAAAATACATGTTGTAGATTCATTTTTAACTTGGGAAAATTTGACTGTATCAAGTAATATTAGACAAATTGGCTGGTTGAGATGTAATGATATCGGGTCTTCAAAAAAAAAAACCAATCGAAGATTGCTTTGATTACGAAAACGTACGTCGCATTACTGTTTCTTTATTGGTCACGATTTTTGACATGCCATTTTGACATTAGATTCATTGACAAAATGAAAGAAAAATTTTGCTAAGACATACGTTTAAAAAACCATAGCAATCTTTGATTGGTTTTTTGTTTTGAAGACCCGATATGTATAAATTGTATAGTATTATATTTATTAGAAAATTGCTGGATACTGGGCGACCGGTTTATTTATACGACAAATTCCAATATAGAACTAATGCTCACACTGTGAGCCTAAGAGATCAAAAACTACTCACTGTACCACGACATAGGACTTCATTGTTTCAAAAATCTTGTTCTTATAATTTTGTTAAATTATACAATGCGCTTGATCCGAGATTCAAGAACTGTACCATCAAAAAGCTTCGAGCTAATTATAAGATATTTCTGCTTGGTACTTGATTACTGGTTAAGTACTTTAATTTAATGATATAAATCTAGTATTGAGAGCTCTGTTATTTTGTAGTTAGGATTAGGATTGCTTTCCTCTGTGATCTTCGGGATGTAATTGGTTAAGTGGAAGAATGGCCTTGTGTGGCTAAACTTCGCCAACTGCATCCTTTGTGATGCGTATACATTTATATCATGTACCTACCTGTTCATGTATGCTGTATGTGCAATAAAGACGTTTATTATTATTATTATATTACCATAAATAATTGATACACAGGCATGACATTTGAAAAAGTAAAAAAATGCATTTGCGCACAATTACCCACCAGGGCGGGCAATGCTGCGCACGGGTTAGGTAATGGTGCGCATTAAATCCATGTTATAGAAACATATTTATTGCTCAAAACTGACATGGAAACTAGTGACAATCAAAATATATTCGAGATTAAGATGAGCAGAAGTCACATCTGAAATTTTTCGGTCTGTCCACTCCTGTACAGTCTGCATGGATCCATGCTGAGCACAAGATACAGCGATACCATAACTCTCTGTTTTTTCCAACTTCTCCACAAATCAGACATATTTCGTTTGGTTTGGAGGGTGTAACTAAAGGTGGTATAAAGCTCAATTCGATGTCATCCAACTCGTCATCGTCGCATAAGTCGGACAAATCCTCCTCCAAAGAGTCGTCTGATGTTTCAGGTGTTGCCTCTCTTTTTTGTTTGCCTTTAATTTTTTTTTTGTCTTGTGTTTCTTCGTCGAAACATTTTCTCACAGTTTTTTTTTTGTTTGATTTTAACAGTTCTTTCTTCTTAAGGTTCTCTTCCCTCAACCTTTTTTTTTCTTGAGGTATTTCCAGTTCTTCTGTAACTGGTGTGCTAGTGAGTATTTTCGAACACTGTTTCTTTGGATTGTTTCTTTTAACTCGTTTGATAACTCTTTTTGTTGGTATCGGAGCCATCGGGAGAAAAGAGTTCGCTTTGGACGTGCTTGGTATGGGGTTTTCGTAATCAATCAAAGCATTTGGTTCAGTATCAGGCAATGGAACGTCAGCTTCTGGTTCAGTATCATCAGGCATCTGTTATTTTCTGATGATCAGAAGAGGATAAATAAAGCTCGTATTCTCTATAGAGAGCGTTCTTCAGCGGACTGAAAAATGTTAAATCCAATGGCTGAAGATGATCTGAGGTGTGGGGTGGGAGAGACACCATATGGATATTATTTTCCCTACAAAAATTATAGGCCAGAATTGAAATATGACTTGCATGGTTATCTAGAACCAGAAGAATGGGGTCAAGTGCATTAGGCTTTGCATGCTTTGCAAAATGCGACAACCACTCGATTGCTCAGAATTGATCCAACCATTTTTGGAAAAAGCACCCAAGGGTCCGTTTTTTTGAAGAGTTGCTGGCATTCTTTAGCAGGGATAAATAAGCATTGGGGGAATATAATTCCCTGCAGCACTCATACAGAAAACGCCAGTTATGGCCCTTCCTCTTTCAGCGGATATAGCAGAGCCCACTTTTTTTTCCCCCTTGGCACCGTAAACCTTTGGACATTTGGCTTGAACGGTTGTAATTCCTGTTTCGTCCATGTTGAATATTCTATTTGGTTCAAATTTAAACTTCTGCATGAGAATTTCAAGATTAGAATAAAATAATTTCACAGATTATTTATTGCAGGAGGAAATCCGATTCAAGCTAGTACCCTCAGGCTGTCTGAGTTTCACTTCAGGAACTCTTTTTAAAAAACCATAAAGCCATGCCTTTCCAGCTACTCCCTTCTCTCGATTAAACTTATGCTCGATATTATGGTTTTCTGCATACCTAAATGCTAGCCCTCTTAGACCATCAGGTGTGAGTCCATAAAATAATTTTGAGAGAAGCAAAACATATTCTTTTAATTCACACTCTATTTCTGTTGAGAATACAGTCTTGCTGCCCAATCGAGGTGGTTTCAGTTCATTCTCTAGCAGAGAATTTATAAAAATCTGGTAAAAAATAGATAGGTCGATCTCACGGCGGTCGTATGCAAACTAACACCACCAATGATCGCGCCTAGTATTAAGCCATCGCGTAGAAGAGGGCAGCACTAGTCGAGCACTCCGGATAACCCGCCAAATTTGAATCTTGGTGCGCACGATTACCCGCTGCGCTCTATTACCCAACTCTCCCTTAAATCTTGGTAAGGAAATATAAGAAAAGCTAAGAATATACAGTAAGTTATTAACAATTTATACTAAAATGAAATGAAAGAAAATACATAAAGAGCTTTGGAATGATGGGGAGTGAAGTTAATGAGTGTTCTGTATAGGTCGTTTCTTGATGGTACAAGTTACATGAGAAATTAAGGATTAAGATACAGAAAACAGAGACTAGGTTAAAATTCTTAGTGTGTAAAAGTCGCGGGCGTCCTCGACAAGGGAATGACAAAACGGCCTTGTTATTCATGGCAAGATAAACATGTTAGAAAAGAGATTTGAGTTGTGAAGCTAACCCAACGGTTTTGTTGGAGAAAAAAGATAGTAGACAGAAAACAACAATCATGACGAATAAATTAAAATACTTGAAATTGAAACATTACCTAAGGTCTCGAAGAAAGAGTCAGCAGAAAAACGTCAACACTAAACACCAGAACTTCGTTACTGAACTGAATGAACGATTTTTTCAAGGAACCAGGGGTCAAGAGTCGTGTTTTGAGACACAATCATCACACTCTTTCGGAAGCCGACTGATCACCATTGGCTCTTGACACGGTTTCGTCAGAAATTTGGCGACTTGATCTAATTGGGTAAAAAGCCAATTACTTGTATTACGAAATAAAAAAGGATTATCAGGCCGTTTTGTTACATTACCCTCTCCTAAAACGGAAACATAAACCGTCAATTGGTGTATGTTTTCGAACATTATTATTTAACAAAACGGTTTAGACTGTTCGAGGATGCTCGTACTGGACGTTTTGGACTTGTTCTACCTCCGGGATGGTCTGGGAAATAACTCTGGTTATCCTCTGGTTGGCATCGGTAGTAGATCAGTCAGGTTCATTCTGGTAATGAACGCGGATGACGTTCTCGGGGTGCTCGTATCTGTTCATGTCAACATACTCAATACTGTTGGAGACATGGAGCGGACTTCCGGGTGATGGCCCACGCCCGTATCTTGACTGGCTGCGATAACGTACTAGCTTGAATTGGCAATAAAGCCTGATACTGGGGAGAACGGCGATGATGAGGGCGGTACAGATCATGCTGGTTTCTACCCATATGGTTGTTGAGTTGTTTGTTTGCTGGATCGGAATGAGGTCAATCATAGTGTGAAGTTCTTGTAGCTCTAGATCGGTAGTAGTGAATTCATGACCTTTAAATTCTTCGAGTAGTTTTGGTATCTGGATTTCGAGGGGGTTTGAACTTAGATGGTGTTAGCTGCGTCGGTGTTCTGGTTTGGTGTACCTCTTCGATAGAGTGGACTGTATTATTAATCGACGCAGACAAAAGTATACAAAAGTATTTTATTGACTATTAAAAGAAATTTGCTGATATTTCAACATTAATTAATTATTGGAATTAAAACAGGTACATTCTTCTCGAATAAAATATCAAGAGTGAATAATAACACAACGTGAACGTCAAGTCAACGTATTAAAAATCAATAAATGTTCTTTTCCTTGTCGTCTTCTGTTGCCGTTGCTCGCCCTTTCTTCGTCGTTCCTTTTCAGCTGTCGCGTACTGTCAGTCGATTCAAATTTACGCGCGGTTGCCACTGTTCCCGTATTTTACTTTTTAACAGTCGGGAAGTGCAACTTCTCGAGAGTCATATTAACGGCGCTCTTCGTTATATGGAAGCAAAGTTCTGCCCTCTATTTGTGCATAACAGTTTCTTTCTAATGGTAGTAAACCTACACCCTTGCAGATACTGGACAGAGCGGATTTCGTCGGCTCGGTAGAAAGTTGCAGTTGGGAGTGTCGAAATCTTCTTTTGGCATAGGTTGGATACGGTTTTGATATCACCTTAGAATAATGCCATGTCACAGGATGTAACGGGAAGATGTTGGATCGGTTTTAAGGGAATGCAGATGTTCAAGTTTTTTCCTCTAAAGTTAGTTCGTGATCCTTCATTTCGTAGAACGACATAGCATCATTTGAAACGGCTAGTAGGGGAAAGGAAGGTTTGATGGCGATCGTAACGTTAACGTTGGCGTTGTAATAAGGAAAAGTGTTCACTCGGTAAAGGGTGAACGTTCGACCTAGAGTGGTCAACGAAAAGTCCACCAGGTTTTGGATAGAGCCGCTGAAGGAAATAACATAGGTGTAGGAAGTAGTAGATTGTAGATTGTAGATTTCGGGCGAGTCGTTTCGGCTTTTCAGCCGCTCAGCACTACTACCTTTGCAGATATTTTGTGCGTGACTCTGCATCTTAATTTGTCTCCAGGGAGCGTAGACTTCTGCCGAAGGAAGCTATTTTCCTGGGTGTCAGTTAGCCCACTTCTTCTGGTGACAGTGTTGCCCCCTCGGGGAATTTGAGCCTCTTGCAGAATTGGGCTGGACATTCGCAGAGCAGGTGCTCTGCGGTTTCTATTGCAGAATCTGCAGAGATCGTCTTCCGCTCTGCCCATTAACCTTAAATGGTATTTTACTGGGCAGTGTCCTGTGAGCAGTCCCACCACCAATCTGATGTCTGGTCTGCTCATGTTTAGGAGCTGTTCAGCTCTTTTTGTTGAAAGGGTAATAAAACCTTTTTGACTGTCTGAGTCCCGGTGTGTGCCTCCAATATGATGACAGTGGGTCTTTCTCCCATTTGTTGAGTTCTTCCATGATGTGGCTTTTCATTTAGCCACAGTAGGGCTCTGGTCCGTGGTATGGTGTTGAGGCCCCTTCCTTTGCGAGGCCATCTGCTTCTTCGTTTCCTTCTATGCCTCGATGACCAGGCAGCCACATCAGCGTTACCTGGTTATGTGTCGCTAGTGTTTTTAGGGTCTGTTTACACTCCCAGACTAGTTTTGACGTGCATTTGAAAGCCCTTAAGGCTTTTAAGGCAGCTTGGCTGTCTGATAGTATGCAGATGTGTTTTCTTTTGAGGCTTTGGTTAAGACACTCTTGTGCACATATATCTATGGCAAGCAGTTCGGCTTGAAATATTGTAAGATGTTTACCCAATGCCTTGGAGAGCTTGAAGTTAGGGCCGGAAATGCCCAGTCCAGCTCCTTCCATCAGCTTGGATCCATCTGTGTACCACAGAGATGCATTGTCTGCTTGTGGTAGTTCTTTATTCTCCCATGATTGGCGGTCGTTTATTACCACTGCGAAGGGGATCTCTAATTCCAATCTGACCATCATGTGGTCACTTGGTTTGCTGGCATTCTCCAGTTTTATTAGATCAAGGATTCTCAGATGTCCCCTCAGATCGCCAGGCTTGAACTTGTCTATTTGGAATAGCCTGTGAGCGCTGGTTATTGCCTCCTTTTTCACACATAGGTGAAGTGGGGGCATGTTGATTAGCGTCTCTAGGGCTGCGGTGAGGCAAGTTGACATTGCTCCCGTTATTCCTAGACATATCAGCCTTTGCACCTTTCTTAGCCCCATCTGAGCGGTGACTTGTTGGGTTTTGGGCCACCACACCAATGAGGCGTATGTGACCATTGGTTTTATTATGGTTTGGTAGATCCAGAATACCATCTTTGACTTTAGCCCCCATGTTTTGCCAACAAGTCTTCGGCATGACCAAATGGCTGATGTAGCTCGAGAGCATGTTTTCTCTAACTGTTTGTTCCAAGTGAGGGTTCGGTCCAGGGTGACCCCTAAGTACTTCACTTCGTTGGAAAATGTTAGTTGTGTACCGTTAAGGGTCGGGGCTTTCAAATTTAGCTTCCTTCTTCTTGTGAACGGGACAAGGATTGTTTTGTTTGCGTTTAGGGATAGTCCTTCGCCTTCGCTCCAATTTTTAACGATGTTTAGGGCACTTCGCATTCGGCTTGTCACTATACCTTCATGTTTGCCCTTGATTACAATGGCTAGGTCATCTGCGTAACCTATGACCTGGTATCCAGCACTACTCAGTCTGGTAAGAATTTTGTCTACCACCAGTGTCCATAGTAGTGGAGTAAGAACATAGGAAGTAGTACATAACTTTTATGTATGTCCATCATGCGAACTGCATGGAGGAAAGCACAATTACTAGGAAGTTGGTCTTCGATAGTAGCTAGTGTTTCCTTTAGCTTGGCTGCGCTGATTATGGCGTTGCTTAGTCTACCTTGGGCTACTTTGTTCAGGGCAATCAATAACTGGTTCACATCGTGCTCTATAGATGTAATGACAAAACCCAGCATCCTCAAGTTTGTATTTATAGTGAAGTGGGCGTCTAGTAACTTAAGCATATCTTGCTTGTTTCTTTTCAAGTCATTTTGTAGTCTCTGGGCGACTTGTTATAACTCTTGGGTTACTAGGGTCTTAGCGTTTCTGTGTCTCCTTTTAGCATCAGGTAGGTCTTGTTCAACATAGAGGCTTATGCCTTGAGTGAATGAATTACTTCTACGTTTACGGCTTCCATTCCTTTGAATTGAGTTTCTATTGTGGCTATGTCATTTGCATCTGGGGAGCCAAACAGGAATTTCCGCGCGGTGCCCCCAATGTTTATTAGGCCTCTTTTTGATCTGTGAGCTGCGGTTGTGTCTCGAATACCTTTAATGATCTCGGCAATATGATCAATGCACTTAGTCATCAACTGTCTTTCGTCGTTGAGAAAGGTCATATGGTAGTTTGACATAGAAGTCGTGATGCTTTGGCTGACTAGATCTAAGAACTTCATTTGCTGTCGGACTAGGAACATAAGATCTAGGTAGTTATTAAGGTCGATACTAATGGCTAAAGTCCATTTTTCATCGGTGAGTGTGATCTGTGCCCCTTTAGTGAATAATACACCTTGTGATAATTCTTGATTGAAGTCGGGGTCGCATCGGGTCGTCAGTATAGTGAAAGCATAGAGAACTTCTACGGTCAGAATAAATTTCATATTCGCTTTTTCAGAACCCACGGGTGGCCGTCTACTGGGCTTCGGCTTCTGGTCTGAACTCTGGTGTTGATTGTGAGGAGAACTCGTCCAGGGATTCAGCCTGTAATTCCGGAATTATTTAATGTTATGTTAGAGTCTGTCAAGTCAGTTAAGTTAGTCGTGTCATTTATGTGAGAAGTTTCAATTTGATTGAAGAAGCTATTTGAATTTTTACTAGTTATTTTTAAATTGGTTCTTTCTGAGGTTTTATTGGGTGAGCTAACAACTTCACGGGGGTCACGAGCAGTTTCGACTTGAAGAGGATTTTCAAGTTAATGGGTTTTATCCCTAACTTGGCGGGAATTAGAAGTCGTCGGTGACTTTGAAACAACGGGGGATCTAGAAAGAATGGGTGAGTTTGAAGTAACGGGTGAACTTGAAATTCTGGGTGAATTTGAAATTCTGGGTGAGCTTGAATTACCGGGTGCAGGCCCGTCGCCAGCCTTTTGGCAGCCGGGTGCGAGTTAAGGAATGGCCGCCCCCTCTCCCCGTAAAATATTTTGAAAAATATATATTTTTTTAAATTTATTTTTTTCTCTAGAAATTTCTGACCAAAATAATTTTTCGAAAAACAAAAACAAAAATATTTACTTTTGCCCTGCGTTAAAAGGGTAGTAGGTCCTGTAAAAAAAAATCAAAAATTTATAATTTTGTCATTATTAAAGGTGTGGGTAATAACATCTTAAAATATTATGTATGTACAACGTACAACTAAAAAAACAAAACATCTAAGTAAAATATCTGGAAAAGGTAAATTAAGACGTAAAAAAGGTTGGTAATTCAACAAAATTTTCTTGCCTTTTTTTCGGAAATTTTTCTATGATGTTTTCCATATCAAGATTGTTGGCAATTTCATGTTCGATTGAAATTAGCGCTAGCCCACTTAAACGTTCTTGTGACATACTAGATCGCAAGTAATTTTCTATAATTTTTAGTTTTGAAAAACTTCGTTCCCCAGATGCTACTGACACTGGTAACGTCAAAAGGATTCTAAGTGATATGTATAAATTTGGAAAACATCCTTCAAGCTGATGTGACTTTAGATAATTTAGTGTTTTTTGTGGCGTTTCAAAGTTTTCTGTTTGGCCGGACATTATTGCAATCATCGATGAAATTTCGTCTCTTAGTTCAAGTCCATTTATATCGTATTTATCTCCGTCAGTCAAAAAGTTGTGTAAGTCCATGCAAGTTTTCGTTATTTCTTGTCTGTCAAGCTCTGAAAGAAGCGAAAGATTAAATAAAAATGAAAAGTAGTCGGAGTGTTTTTTTAACTGTTCAAATCTCTCTTGTATAGCCCCATGAATCGTATCAAGAACCGCGAAAAAGACATATACCTTAAATTTTTGTTGTGGGTCTTCGATTGGCTCATCCACCCCTTACCCCTTCATAAGTAAATTGCCTACTTTTTTTTCGCGGTCTAGCCCTGACATCGTTAGTGAAAACCGCCTCGATTTCAAGTTCTGTGGCCAATTCAGCGGCATCCACCAAAAGCTTTTGAAAACAATTGTCATTTCTCACCGGGTTTACTTTAAAGTAAAGGAGTAGGAGAAACTTTAGTGGTAGAAGCGGCCATGTTTTTGAAGCATTTTGTGAAAGTATTCGATAAAGCCTTTTCTTCTTCTCTTTTAATTTTTTTTTTCCGGTATTCGGCTCCCGACAGCCTTTTTGTTTTTCGTGAATTCATTTTATTTAGATAGAAACATTATTATGGAAGAATCACCGCGCCGCGCCGTCTCTTGCAGGCTGCTATATGCTAAAGAGTGCGGTCCTGCCCCGTGCTTCTATAGAGAATTTGCGGAAGTTCAACACGTCTGTGTAAAATTAGGAAACCGGCGGGCGCAAACGCCAACGCTCATAACCGGCACTACCGGCTGCCGGCCCGGCAGTCATGAGCGACTAAATCCCGGACAATTTTCTGCCACGTTGCCATATTTAGAAAATATTCGTTGATCTGAATAGTTGACGTGTTTGTTCGGCATTGTTTATAATACGGATAAGCAATAGCTTGTCATCAGGAAGTCTCGGTGGCACAGAGGTTGTTTGGTTGGCATAAGTCATCATTTTTCCCCACACGACGGGCGCTGTGCGTTCGGCAACCCATATCCCTGCATCCACCAACACCACATCATTTGGTAGGCCATGTTATGGCCCAATGCTTGCCATACCATGGCAGTTATCAGCGACCCCAGGGTCATTAAAACAGCGCGTAAGGGAGACCAGGTAACACTGCGAAAAGAGTCAATAAAGGATAGGACAGAGGCTTTTAGGTCAAAACATCGGACCGTGCTAAAACACGCCCACACAGCACGCCAGGCGTGTCTGGGGCACAGTGCGCTGCGCCGCACTGGAGTTTTTAGTTTTAAGTTGTATGTCCTAGTATAAGTTATTGTTGTATATATTTAAGTTTGAGGGGGGCCTAACCTCCCTACCTGAATTGTGCAACATAAGCAATTATTTAAATAAAGATTTTGAGTGAGGGTTGGCATAAGTACCTAAAGTACCGGGATCGAGCCTTACAACTCCTACTTTTTGTTGTTAGATATGGTTAGTTTGGTTAATTTTTCTGTAAAAAATCCCGGAGCGTGCAGAGGGGAATTGCTTTAGTGTAAATCATTAATTATTATTCTGTTTGATATTTTTTGGGTAAGATTTGGTTACTGTAAACAAACCCAGAGCGAATCGGAGGGCAATTGCTTAACTGTAAATAATCAATTATTATTCAAAACACCAATCAGCATTGTCGCTGAGATGACATTTGGAAAATTGTCCAGGATCTAGCCCTTCCTTCGGCAGGCCGCCCCACGTTTCGCGTCTCACAGATGCATGCATTGAATGAAAATTCGTGGAAATATTTAGTGATTCATGCATGCCTAAGTAGTAGCTACTATATGGGTTGTCCGGAAAATAAACATTGAGCAAAAGCACTGCTGAAAGCGCTGATTTACTTTAACTTTTACTTTAAAATATAAAAAAGTTATCACCTATATTATTATAGGTATTATTATATATTACACAATCGGTCGGCCTTCGGCCGCCCCCTGATTTGGCCGCCCGGGTGCGGCTGCACCTCCGCACCCCCCCTGGCGACGGGCCTGCCGGGTGAACTTGAATGGTTTGGCGACGCTAGGGTTGCATTATTTTCAGGAGCTGGAGGATGCGACACGTCATCAGGGGCGCCGACTTTTGAAAATCCTCATGGGTGCAGGATAATTTTATAAATGTGTTTATAGGTAGAGAGCAGGGTCAGATTGGGATTTTTTCCGGCCCGAGTTGTAGTCCTTATATTGGCCCACTCTGTGGGAGATCTATATCATTCAAAATTTTAATTTCCCAAGTGCGCCGGAGGCTAAAATTTTGAAAATTTTCAAGGTCACGCGTTTTCCTTGGTACCTTAGAATGTACTTAGGAAAATTTTGTATGCAAAAATATAGACTTTTACAAGGAAGTTTTAATTCATCTCTCAAAATATTGATAATTTGGAGTAAGTGGTTTACACCGAGGCCGAAGTTGACCGGCCCACCGAGTTCTATACTCGGTAAATCGCCGCCCTGATACGGGCCTGGAAATATTTTATAGTGTTTCCGATTGCTAAGTTCGAGCAGCAATAGAGCCATTCTCGTTCAATTTTTGTATTCGATTCTCTCTCCGCACAAATTTCAAACAAACATTTAATATTGTATTTATTTTTATTTATATAAACTCAGACAACACAGTACAGTTGAAGAAATAGGTACAAGTACCTACAAGAAAAACAAAGTCAAAAAGTAAGCCAAGTACCAAGTACTTATAGCTTAATACCAATTACCAATACCGGTAGGTAACAAAAATAAAAAATAAAATTCAAATTGGGTACTTATTTATACTAACAATAAGTAAACAAACATAGTTGAGGTATAATAAAGACATTTTTAGTACCTACCTACTCATAAAATTTTTAGAAACAAACATATAAAAACAAAATCAAAACTTAATAGTTTAATAGTTAACCTACCGTAGCACATAGCATTGATAGGTATTTAACAAAGCGAAAGAGTGGAAAAAAAACTATATACTAAACTAAATAAAAACAAAACAAAACAAAAAATTCCTAAAGGACCTAGGACTAGAGGGGCTGCTTTAAGCAGGAAACCCGAACTTAGCAGCAGAAGGAGGGGTACAATAGATCAACCTTGGTCGCAGTGCAACTGACACCTCCGACACATAAAAAAAAGGCTTGTGTTGCCAACATAGTTACTAAATTTTTGACTTGGAGAATTATTTAAAAAAAAAAAACAGACTTTACATACATAAATAAAAACAAAACTTGGTTTATTTTCTGAATGTATACTGTAAACCTACTCTATATAAAGTCGGTTTTACACTGACAATTTATTGGTCAATTTATTGATCAAGTCGCTTGTCAAGAAATATTGATAATGTAAAACGCCAACTTAGCGGTAATTCAACTTAACTTGTCCAAGTTCTTGCTCAATTTATTTACGGATTAGCGCATGTTCTATTTTTCTGTCAATTTTTGTGTCAATTCAGGCTTGCAAGCTAGAAATGATACTTTAAAAATATTAAAGCGAGATTAGGATATTAATTTTTATTTATCATTTGGTTGTTGATGTTCAGTTTATTCTTCTTCAGTATTTCCTAGTTTAATAATTAAATATCTTTAAATATATTTCTGAGTGAGCCATAATAAAAACATAACCTTGAAATTCTGGTTAAGTTGGTAGAATTGTTTATTGTCATTTGTGTTGTCAACAAGTTAATCCGGTGTGAAGCGAAGTTAAGCCATTGTAAGGCCAACATAAATTGGCAAACAAAACTACCAACTTGATTTGTCAGTGTAAAGCCAGCATTAGGAACATAAAAAGTTGATTTAGGATAAGTTAATTCCACGAAACGAGATAGTAGAGGTAAACAAACAGGCGGAGCTTAAAAATTCAGAGAAGGACTGCAAAAATATGAATTAC